GAGAAAAATAAAACCAGTTTTTATTTTAAAAATATGCAATTTGATGTTTTTTGTAATGGTTGTAACATTTCAAAATTGGTGCAATATTCCTAAAAGGAAATCTATTTGGTTTTTTTTTTTCAATGTTCATCCAATTGGTGAAAATACATGATAAAAAAATTGGTAATTGTGTTGATAATAAATAATGATAGCGCCCTCTATCGAGTCCGCAAGCATACGGGGCTTTTCATACAACATGGAGTCCGTGTACATTTGCTATATTTGAAAACGTTAATAAATCACTTGAGTTTAATTAATCTGTGTCTGCCTATATATTCAGTGATTACCACATGGTGTCAGAATACCACAGTAATGTTGCATTTTATTTTAACTGCAGCCATTATTGAAGGTCATTGATCCAAATTTATGTAAAAAATCTGTTCGACCGGTTTAAGGGAATATGTTTTTTGGGGGGGGGGGCATAAATACAAAAATGTGTATTTAGAAATACAATTTGATTATCTTATCACAACCCTTTCTCAAAACATTGATATCGTATTTTTTGTTCCACTGAGTTTGGTCTACATCCTTTTGTATTATATTTTCCACGAAAATGTCACAATAGCGTGTCCATTTACTGATAAACTGCCTATACATAATTTATATCTATATCTATACATATATCATATTACGTAATAGGATAGAGGTTGTGTCTCTGCTGGTACTAACAGTCGTTTTAGATGGTAAATTACATATTATTACAGGGAAGTAAAGGAAAAGAGAGACGGGACGGGAAAGAATATAAAGCAAAAGGGGGAAAATGAAATGGAGAAAAGAGTAAAATGTAAGTAAGGAAATACGACTAAGGAAAACAATATTTAACAATTATTTTTAAAAAGGAAATAAAATTCTGTATTTTAAAATTATTTGTTTATTAACTTTATATATTTATTTTTATTGTCGTTATTCTTGATTGTTACTCATTATTTTTGTTAGGTTAACTTTTAATAATTTTTTACCACACAGGTATTTTACATTATGCGCTATGAAAATTGACAATTATTATTATTACATATTAGATTTTACTATGGGCAAAAACAAAACATCAGAAAGAAGATGTGGCATGCTAAGATAACATAAATATGGCTAAGTGTGGATTATTTATGAAGTCAGAAAACTTTGGTTCTAAAGTAGGCCTACTTTAACAAGTTGATAACAGCATAGCCTAACGTATGTTTATGATGATATTATAAGATATCTATAATCAGTGGAAGGAGTAAGTGGGTCATATGCAATGTTCGGATACAAATATCAGGTTTTATCAGTCATTTAGAAGTTACAAGAAAATACAATGTGACCTGCTGAGTCAAAGGTCAATACCTTAATACAACTCAAGTGACTTTTTCACAAAATTATTCATTACAGTGAATGTATTTAAAGTTGTTATACCATTTGAGATCAAAATCAATTCTTCATATACTGTAGGAAAATTATAAATACGTAGCTCAGATGTGATGTTTCTGGTAATTTTCTGGAGCAAAGGTTAAATTAGAACAAATAGTGGTAACATGTAAGTTCTGAGAAAAGCTTCTGCAACCAGTGCAACTATTATATGGAAACACATATTTTTACTCCTAATTTGCATATTTTATCTAATTTGTATAAAAACGTGACATATGACCGAGGTTTTATATTAAGAATTTAATCTCCTCGTTGTATTACAGTAAATACAAACATGCATTCGACCAATTTGGGACTAAAATTAATTCTCTACGACAATAGTTTTGGAGATATGGAAACATGGGGTCATAAATGAAATCTGATATTTCCGGTTAATTTTAAAGCAAATGTTACATTAAAGCTAATAAGAACATGCATAATCTGATCTATTTAAAACAAAAATCAAGTGACCACTAGTTACAAAGATATCGAACCCTATACTTCTATCCCTAATTTTCAAATGAACGGGACATATGACAAATTTCAGAATTTTATCTTCTCCTCACATGTCATCATTAAAAAAAGAAAAATCTTTTTTGGCACTTTGTTGCCAGATTATATGAACACCAGATTTAATATATGAACATTTCAGTTATTTTTGGCGGCCATTTTGAAAAACCTCCATAATTTGCATAATATAAAGTTCCGATGCAAGTGTCATCCCGGCTGGGAGTGATCAGAAGGTGTCAATAAAGCCATCTGGCATTGATGATGTCTTCTAACATTCCACTTCTCCTGACGCCATTTTTTCAGATTTTTTTCCTATACTAATAGTCAGTAGTAAGAATAATCAAGATTATACTGAACTCATAAGGTTAGGGAGAGCATACATAATTCAGTGAATTTAGTTTTAATCACTTGTTTTTGTTGGGTTTTTTTTTCGGATTGATGGAGTCAACGCCTTAGATTTGCATAATACATGGAACTGATGGTTTACAGGTATCATAATCCATTGATCTTAAATTTAAAAAAGAAGCGATACATCTTCACAATTTATATATATACATATATATATATATATATATACATATATATACATGTATATATATACTACATATATATATATATATATATATATATATATATATATTTATAGATATCCCTAATCTATGACTTTTATAATGTAAATATTTACATAATGAAAGTAAAATTTATGTATGTATACAGTATTTTCATATGATTAAACAGCAAGTTATTTATTCGCTAACGGTAAAAACTGTTAATATATTTCCCAAATAATACTAATATTTACAGTAACAGAGATCACAGCTACGTACCACAGATGACACCAGCGTCTTGGCTGTGGTCACAGTTGTGCACTCCTATTCCATTGTTCACGCAATCATTAAGACTTGATTCTGTACCTCGGCAGCTAACATCGTCCAGAAGAATATCGCCCGACCCTTGTCCAAATCTGGCATTCGAGACGGCCTCTCTTGCTCTACCTAGGCCTAGTGCTTTGCATACAACATGAGCGTCGTTTATATCCCAGCCATCATCGCACACCGTACCTGATCGTCCATTAACGGTTACTTCCACTCGCCCTTCGTTGTTGTTACCTCCACCAACAAGTCTTACTTCTAAGTTAGGTTGAGAATCTGTTAAAAAGACAACGATAATAATGATAATAAAATTAATACAATTATGATAGTTTCTGTTTTTTTTTTTTTTTTTTTTTTTTTTTTTTTTTTTTTTTTTTTTTATTATTATTTAATACATAAATATGTGAGAATATGAATGGTGGGTCCAGGTTTGCTTGGTCAGTTACAACTAGGTGCGGCAAAGTAGGAGACATTATTTTTGATAGGGCCCAAGGTCTTGTCATCATTTTGGTCCCAGGTATTCAATCATTTTAAGATAGTGGGGGTGGCCAGCAGGGGAGCCGCCAGCAGAAGTCCGGGGGCAGGGCCCCTGTGATTCGTCGGGGAGAAAATAAATTATGTATTTTGTACATATTGGTAGACTCTAAAATTGATTAACTTTGAAACACTTAAATTGTCAAAGTTTTGGGGGCCTTCTACATTTGACAACTTTCGAAACATTTTAAGCGTCGCTCGACCACGCCTACTTAGCTCTCGTCTGGGATATATTCCACATCGTCGGGGACATCGCCCCTCCCCCCTCCCCGTTGGGGATCTCTAACCCCCCCCCACCTCATCGGAGAAATCCTAGCGCCACCCCTAGTGGCCAGTTTAAATATGTTGAGACCAGCGGCGGGCCGACATTTTGTACTTTTATATATTATTCTTAATAATATACCGTACCTACTATTAGCCTTAGATTTTTTTAACATCAACTATGATGGACCTTGTTTTTTTTAATGAGGGAATGCAGTAGCACGGAGAAGGTTATGGGATAGAAAAAAAAATAAAAATAACTTCAACTCATAATCTCCTACTCTACAAATTGGAATTTTACTTTATAATCATCAAACAAATCCACTATACTAAGTAGTTAAACACAATGTATAGTCGCCACAACTTCCCTGTCGAGGAGTCCAATACCCCGATAAGAGGCCACATTTACCTCAACCCCACTATGGTTGGAACTGAAGTGAGCAATTTTTAAAAACAGACATCTCCAGATTCTCTTAAATGGCACTTTCAAAGAAGTGTTGTCAAAATAGAATTACATGCTCGGGTTTCTATTAACAGAAAAAAAAAAAAAAACTTTTTTTCTTTTAATTTTCTGTAAATTCTAAAAATTGACCGAAAAAAAGATTTATTTTATTTATTTTTTTATCTTATCAAAATCATTGGCGTTCGAACCGACGTTGGCCCCCGGATCGAGGGTTGAATACCGGGAGCGAACGGTAACGTACCCCTACACCCAACATAGGCGTAAACGTTCTTAGCCCAAATAAATCCATCCACCCATCCATTTTTTGGATTGCAAATACATACGATGGTAAAGTGAAAATATACTTCTGTAATTGTTTGACCCAGAGGTGACGGAACTAGGGGTGCTGCGTTATGGAGAGTAATGTGTGACCGGAAATGGACTACAGTCAGTTGGTTGATACCATGCACCAGTGATGTTGGAGTACAGCAACGTGAAAATATTTATGTAATGCATGAATAAAGTTCGGGGTTTGTCTGGTAGTGAAATGATTATTGTACATTTTAAGTGCTCCAGTTACTCCATGCATAAGTTTAAGCTAAATTACGGTGCTTAATTATCGAAGATATGGAGACAATTTTTCTAAGTTCCCTCTTTCCAAGAGGGGATGCAAATGCTTTGTGAAAATGAGTACGCCGCGAGGGACCGAAGACAATTCAAGACCCCCCGCAACGAATGAAGCCCGGCTTAGAAAAGTTAAACACGGTGGCGCGCCAGGCCTAGTTACTATAGGAACACAGCCTGGCTTGAGATAAGCCACCTAGTTTAGACTGGCAGGTGAATAAACCCGGTGACTTGAGCCGGGTTTATCCACCTAGTCTGAACTAGGGCTGAACGTAGCCAGAATGCAAATGTTAACGGAACACCTGGGAAGGAAGGTGCAATATCACGTTCAGTTGACCAAGAAGTATGCCAGGATTTCTAGACAATAATACATTTATTAGAAAGCTAACGTCAATGTAAAGAACTGACTAATCATAAACATAAAACACCCCCCCCCCCCCCCCCCCCAGCTATTCCCCTATTTGCGACGTTTACTGGAGAAAACAATGCAGTACAGTACAAACAAACCGGCTATTCCCACTCCACGGAACCGTACGGTACGGTTTCCGTACGTTTTCGATAGCGGTTTCTAATGCACATCTATCGTGCGAATAGTGTATCCGATATTATGGTTCTCGATCGTTCTCACTTTATATTTTTAGGATAGTTTGTTCTTTTTACATTCACCTTACCTTTCTTTACTTGCTTCTTTTTTGTTTTATACGGCGGTTTCAAAATATTATATAAAAAAGATAAAATTACTAAAAGCATTGAACATGTGGCGGATCCAGCGAAGGTTGGAGGGGGGGCCGTTCCTCCCCCCCCCCGAGTCAGTCAAGCCGAAAAGTTTGAGTTAAAGAGACGAAAAATTGTACCCATGAGTTCAGTGGCGATCCAGCAGATGAAAGAATAGAGAACCGGTGAGAACCTCATATTGTGCCCCCACCCCCCGTCAGAAAATCCCTGGATCCGCCCCAGAGGACTTGGACATGTCGCTTAGAGACCTTGTTTATTTGCACCTTACAAATCGACCTATTATTATATCATCATCATTATCATTATTATTATTATTATTATTATTATTATTATTATTATTATTATTATTATTATTATTATTGTTATTATTATTTTTATTATTATTATTATTATTATTATTATTATTATTTTTATTATTAGTATTATTATTATTATTATTATTATTATTAATAATAATAATATTAATATTATTATTAAAATTATTATTATCGAGAACGATCAATAATCATAATACAGTATATATCAGATATTCGCACGATGTGCATTAGAAACCGCTATCGAAACCGTACGGTTCTGTGGAGTAGCCTGTACACTAACAACAGTTTGTTTGTACAGTACTGTATTTGTTTTCTCCAGTAAACGTCGCAAATAGGGGCCAAGCTGGTACGTGAGTTATTATTATCAAAATAACTATAACTCCACGGCTGGTATCGATAATACTTACTGGTGTTTATTTCATGATTAGTCAGTTCTATATATTGATGTTAGCTTTCGAAAAGGGTATTATTGTCTGAAAATCATGGCATACTTAGTTGAGGGTCTTAATTTGCGGGGTCTGATATTTCGAGTGGGTCTGATATCTCGTGGTCTTAGGTCTTAGCTTTCGTGGTCTGAGCTTTAAGGACACCCCTCTTTCATACCCCGTTCGCTAGTACCGTTTGTCAGTTGCGCATGCTCAATGATTTCATGAGACATCGTTTGGGAACTGCACATGCTCGACAACTCATTTAATAAGTGCGCATACTCACTGTTTCTCCGATATACCCTAGAGCATGTGTTTCACATAGACTCAGCCCTCTCACCAGGATTTTTTAAAGAGTTCATATTTATGCTGTGACGAGACGCATCGTGGCCCATGTCTCACATTTTAAATTCAAGATCTGTACATCCTCCAAATCGAGAGATAGATGTATATTTTGCAAGGGGAAGATCCCCTTAAATACTTTCCCCTTACACAATAAAAGCAAATAACGGTCACATAGTTAAAGCACCTCAAATTAACTTATTTTTCCAGCTGGCGGTATATGGGGGGGGGGGGGGGGGGGGGGGGGGGGGGGCGATGTCCCCAACGAAAAAATTCGGCGTACTCGGGCGTCGCTCAAAACCTCTCGAAAGTGTTCCAGAGGCCCCGAAAATATGACAATTTTTGGGTCTCAAATGCTTATTTAATCGATTTAAGGGTACCAATATGTAAACAATATATAGAGCCCTATACATTTTTTTATTCCCGACTATTTGTGGGTTTTCTCAAACAACTCTTTCCGACGGGGGCCCTGGGCTCCATAGGCCTACCCTTCCCCGCTGGCGTCACCTCTGTGGCGCTTCTACCTAATCATCAAGCACCATTTTCTTTTTAGGTCAGTTAGGTGAACTGATAGATATGAATATGGATACCTAATCTCCCTCCTCGCGAAACAGAGTTCAGTGGTGTATCAAGTAAGCTACAGTGCTTATGCGAGGACGAATGCTACGGCGTTAAGCCAAAATCTCTTAAATACTGGAGGCCTTGGTAGTCAACACAATGTACAAATTATTGGATTATAATTGTAATAATATCCTTATGACTAGGCACAGCTTATGTACAGCATGGTCTTTAGAAGTATTTTTAAAAAGCAGAGTAATACTGAATCTGGTTATTTGAGTACATAGTTATAGGCCTATGACAACGTGTTGTTCAATTGCTCAATTGTTCAATTTTCACTGTGTCGACTACACTAACACTCGACCGACTATCAGAGATTTTTGGCCTACAATTGCTACAAAGTTTGTAGCAGTTGTATGAAGGATACAGATCTAAACGTTTTTCTCGGAGTCAATTTTTTTGGACTTTTAGACACAGTTGTTAAATTACTCTTTTACAATTAAACATTTTTATGAGAATAAAATCACTGTCAATTAACAGACAGTGAGCGCATTTGCTGTATTCCTTCACATGACTCATTGGTTGGTTAAATTTTATTTATTTATTTGTTTTTTGTAGAACCGTCTGTAAATCAGTGAAAACTATATTTTACTTCAATCTGTTTTTGATCGTTTTAAATGAATTATTCAATTATTTGGAGGGGGGGGGTAGACAGCGCCGTTGCGTTGTTGACTATTGTGCCGGTTTAAATGTTTTTTGCTGTGATGATGTTTTGTGACGTTGTGGACTCCTCAACATATCGTCAGTGGCTTCATTAAAACCAGTCAATGCACAATCCAGCCATTAAAATAGAGATCAGTAAAACTACCGGAGCCCAGCATGTTGCCAAACGGAATGCCTGCGTGCATCCAACCGGAGTAACAGTGACGCTGTTTTCGTTATCGGAGGCTAGTCCCTCCCTTTTTTCTGCTCATTTTTAATTTGATGAATATCACGTCGATTTGAAAGTTTTAAATTATTAATTAAAAAATAATTATGTTAATATATTAGGTTAAGCCTAAGTGTACATTTGAAGTGCATTGTATTGTCGATGCGCCCTGAGCATCAATATGGAAATATATCGTCGGCGAACAACACATTTTCATTAGGTGAAAGAAACTAAATCTTCCTAATCGCTTTTTTTTTTTTTTTTTTTTTTTTTTTTCTTTTCGTTTTTTTTTTTTTTTTTTTTTTTTTTTTTGTTTTAACCAATACTTTGATTGAGAGCTTCTGGCGTCTTATTGGCTCCATGTATTAATATTGAACAGTGAGCGAGCAATATTATATTATATCGTATATTACTTTTCAATGATTCATATTATAATTAGAAATAGGCCTACCTTCATATGTTGGTGTTGGTGTGTATATCAATTCCACTGATTGGCAGTTAAATGGACTTTCACCTGCGCTGTTGAAGGCCGTGATGCAAATGTTGTACCAACTTTCATAACCGATTCCTTGATATAAAAATGTCAAAATATATGAATATATAGAATAAAATATATAATAAAGATAATCATACAGCACAAAAATCAAGATTATAAAATATGAGAGATTTGATAACGAGGGTGACATATTATAAGCATGGTCATCATTGTCTATATTATAATATTAATCGAGTATTCTTTACAATTTCTCGTCTTCATGTGATATATTTAGTATTGTATAATTGTCATCGGACACGCTTGTGTGCACGCCCTCTATCACATCCAATAAAAGTGGAAAATCTAGATTCGGTATTTTTTGGTAAAACTATTTGTTTAACCATGGAGCCCAGAATGATAAATTAATTGTGATATTTTTACTACGAATTTTAGTAATGATAATTATTGTTTAGCAGTGACAATTATTGTTTCAGCCAAATCACATGAGGTGGGTGATAGGTAGGCCTAGCAATTAATCTAAGCATAGGCTAGTAAAAAGAATACCAAGAAGATATTAAATAAATGCTGGTCGATCGAACCAGGATCCTATGTCACACCGTTGTGTTAGGCCAGCACATTTTTGTTTTTCTTTTCACACATGAAAACATATACTGTCATTTTAATAAGTACCTTTGAGCAAATACTGTGTATAATTGACATCGACTTTAGCATAGCTTTCATTGTTGACATATATTTTGTAGCCCAACATTTTACCATTTTGACTCTCTTTAGGAACAACCTATAAAATTATTTCAAGAGATGACACTATGGCATATTAATATGTTTAAAAAACAAACTAGATAATAGTGAGTACTTATGATCTATAACGATAATATTGAAGTCGGTTTTAATCTACACATTCTTGTGATAATAAGCACGTTCACATAAATTATTGTGATAAACTTATCATGATCTATAATTCGACATGATAACTTTAGCATGTTAGAGAAAATATAGAAACCATCATCATGATCTATTTTAGCTAATGTGGGCAGTGTTGCATGAAATCTACCAAAAGCACAACCAATCAGGTTGGGACCTGTTTAATAAACTGAAAGCTGATTGGTTGAATTCGATCTCATGAATTAATTTATCATGATAACCAAGTTTAATCATGATGAATCAACATGCTCCACTAGATCATGATAAGGTGATCAAGCTGAGCACGTTATTTGATTCACATAAAGTGACTGGCTTGATCATGACCCACTAGATCAAGTTAAATGCTGATCTACTGTTTAATAATGTAACTTGATGACACTTTAACAGGTACAAGATTAACTCACAATAGGTACGTTCGCATACTATCGTGATAAATTTATCATGATCTATTCATCATGATAACTTTAGCATGTTAGAGAAAACCGTTCATATAGAAACCATCATCATGATCTGTTTATGCTAATGCATACAGTGTTGCATGAAAACTACCAGAAGCACAACCAATGAGGTTAAGATCTACCAGAAGCACAACCAATGAGGTTGGGACCTGTTTAATAAACTAAAGGCTGATCGGTTGAATTCAATCTCATGAATTAATTTATCACGTTAACCAAGGTTAATCATGATGAATCAACATGCTCCACTAGATCACAATAAGGTGATTAAGCTGAGCACGTTATTTGATTATGGTTGGTTCACATAAAGTGACTGGCATAAAATGATCCACTAGATCACGTTAAATTCTGAATGTGAACCTAGCTATTAAGTAATTTCATACTTACGTCCCATTTGAGTAAGATATCATTTCTTTGATTCTCTATTGACTCAAACTGTACTTCCTTTGATGGTCCTGAAATAGTATCGCCATTGTCAAAATTAAATTTAAAATCACTAATAATAGTAAGGTAGAAATAGGTTTAATTCAAAAATCTTAATATACAAATTTTATTATAAAAAATAATAATAAATAATAATAATAATAATAATAATAATAGTAATAATAATAATTAATAATCATAACAATAATAATAAAATATTAATATTAAAAAATTTAATAACGGTTTAACTATTTAATGTTTTATTATTTGAATTATTATTATTAGTTCAGCACCACAAACAGTATGTATAAGTTCTACTGTTTTCTCTACTCTCTCCGTTCCACGCGCCTCAGGATATTGGTTAAGTAACAATTATTGTTGTGTCTTCTTAATAATGTGACCATACTAATAATAATAATAATAATAATAATAATAATAATAATAAATAATAATAATAATAATTATTATTATTATTATTATTATTATTATTATCATTATTAATAATAATAATAATAAGAATAATAATTAATAATAATAATAATAATAATAATAATAATAATAATAATAATAATAATAATAATAATAAAACAGCACTAATAATGCGCTATTATTTAGCGTGCTATTTAAGGCACAGTGGCTCTTGGCAAAAGGAAAAAGTATACAAAATTAATATACTGATTTACTGGAAAAGCAAAACAGTGAGGCTACATTTTCTGCCTTTTGTTTCCTTTCTATGTAGTATATTTTTTATTGTTTTCTTTTTCATCATTTGTTTTTCTTTCTTTATCATTTTTTAATATTTTGTTTTCTTTCTTATTCCATTTCAATCTTTCGTTTTCTTCCTTATTTCTTTTTAAACTTTCATTTGTTTTATAATTTCATTTCAATATTTTTCTCCCTTCTTGTTTTTTCTTTCTGACATTTTCATTCTCATTCTAATACTTTCATTACAGTGCCGTTTTTTTTTGTTGCTTTCTTTACGTTCTTTTACATTTTCTTTGTTTTAGTTACCTTTCTCTTCTTTTTTCTCTTTTTTCTTCAAGAGAGATATTCTATATATTTCTTTTCGTCTCTTTTTCCTTTTCAATTTTAACAATTTTCCCCCTTTCCTTTCTATTATTTGTCCTTCTTCATCCCCTTCATGTATCTTTCTCTTTTCCTTTGCATTTCCTTTGCATGCTTTGTCTTACTTTATTTCCTTTCCTTTCTTATACTTCCTTACGATACCTTTCTTTTCCTTTTCGTTGCTTACAAACTACTTACTGTTATTTTTCTTTTTATTCCAAATCATTTTTTTTTTACATTTATCATTTTAAAAATTATTTTTCAATACCTAATAATGGCTACTTAATTATACCAGAGCAAATCGTTTTACACTAATTAAATGCTAATTCAAAGATAAGAATTTTGAGGAGTGTTTTGTATGTTAAAAGAGAGCTGCAAAATTTTATATTATTTCTAAGGTTTTTACGCGATTGACGCAAAAGCTCTGTCACCATTTAATGACCGTGTTCTTGGAGTGGTGAGTAGGATTTTGTTATATGACCGGAAACTACGGGTAGTAGCGTAGGGCCTATGGGGTAAAAAGATTTGAAATGTACGTTGGTGTTAAAATGCCTTCCACATACAGGTCAATATGTCCATTATAATAGCTTTGCTCCATGGAACCATAAGATCTCCTGGATTCGTAGTTTAGTTTCTAGAGCCCACAGATTGTGTACTCCTGATAAAC